CCCCCCCCCCCCCCCCCCGGCAACAGTCTGGCCAAACTATTTGGCCAAATAGTTTGCCAGACTATTTCTTATTAAAGGCCACCCCAAGTCCCAACTCTTTCTGAAAACAAGTGATCTCCATCTGTGATGTGAGATGATGAGTACTCTGATCCAGTTCTTTGAGTCTTAATTTCTCTTTTGTTCGGTTTTATGTCACAATATTATTTGTCTTTATGGTATTTTCCAAAATTGGCTTTGATTAATACTCAGTTATATTAATGTAAAAGAATAAATAAGAAGAAAGACAATTCTGTGGATATAGAATTCCTTTTATATGGGTATTTTGGCATAACATAAGATTTTAAAAGGATGATATAAAACTAGTTTTTCCATTTCCCTTATAAATGAAATGGGAAAAAAGTAGAAAATATGGGGAAAATGCATAACTAAATCAAATACCTGAAGCAATTTAATTCAATTTAGCAAATCTATTATGGTATAGAAAAATAAATCCTGTAGAGCTGTGTTACACATAGTCAAAATTTCCAAATTATTTACAATCTGATGCCATAACTTATTTTAAAAAATACACTTAAAAATCCAAATTTATTCTTACTCAGAGTCTTTTCTTATAAAGCACCTGGAATCTCTTTATTCAACAAATATCTTCTGACACCTACAAAGTAGAGGTTTATTGTTCAGGATACAAACATAAATGAGATAAAATTTATGTCTTTGTGGAAGGCACTGTTGAATAGAGGAATAGATAAAAATGCAAAGATTTTACAATGAGCACTAAATTGACTAAACCAGAAGTTAAATCCAATGAAGAGATGTGGAGGCACATGAAGTTACAAGGAGTGTTCTTAGACACAGAGTAACTTATTGTAGCTGGAGTTTAATCTTGCATATTCCCCTTCATGATCATAATGACTCAAATAATAGGTATAAGGGCCTAAGGACAGTAGGAATGGAGAGAAGATAAAGATATGTTGAGATACTCAAGGTACAGGATTAATGGGAGCAGGTAATTTACAGGATATAGTAGGTGGAGGAGAAAAAGATGTTGAAGATGGTGTGGTTTCTGGCTTGGGAAGATGGTGACTCCATTAATTTGAATGGGGAAAACTGAAAGAAGAATAGGTTTGGACATGTTGGTTTGACATGTCCATGGAACGTGAGATTGGGTTAGTTGTCAGGCAGTTAGAAATTTAGGTCTGAAGCTCAGGGGAGAAAGCTGAGCTGCTGATAGAGGTTTCAGACCATACACCTTTGGATCAAAGCTGAGTCATGGGATTGGTTGGTTAGGCACGTACCATAGGAAAGAGTGTTAATAAACACATTAATTGCATTCAAATTCAAATTCATATTATCTTCAAGTCTCCTAAAGTAATCTAAAAATTACTATCAAATTTATGCAATACAGTGTCAAAATACATTATTTTTTCCTTTTATTCTTCTCACTAACTCTATAGCACTTCACGTCTGGCAAATATGATGGTCAAATGGCCTCTTTCCAGACATTCTTGCTTATCTCTCAGCCTCACCAACCTATTCCAATCTGTGTATGCATATACTTTGCATTGCTCATATAAAACAGTTGTGAGAATAGGAAATAATCATTTTTTGGCATTGACTTTCTTGTTACAAGACATAAAAATAATCTCATGTAATATTATGTAATCAGACTATATTTATTGATTACAGTTTACATGTTTTCATGCAATTCAACTAACAAAAACCCTGTGAGGTCAAGATAGCTATCTCTGTTTTTAAAATGAGGGTACTTAGAGTGATTAAGTGAATTGACTAAGGTATTAAAATAAACTAGCTCCCTTTCCACACCCAAATAATTTGTAAATAATCAGGAAAATGGACATGAGCTTGAAGAAATTCTGTGTGTGTGTGTGTGTGTGTGTGTGTGTGTGTGTGTGTGTATTCATTGATGTGATATGTAATGTGATATATTTCTGACAAAACTTGATTATCCTCAATTGTTTCACATACTTTTTATGTATAATTTGTAGTCTCATCTCCCCTGTTTTAACCATTTTCTTGCTGGGTTCTTAGGATGTGTGGAGAGTCTTGCTGGAAGGGACTAATGACTGAGCCCAGAGCTGGTAAATAACAGTGAATGGTCATGAATGCTTTATAACCAAACCAAAAGGATCTACAGACCAATCCTTTTTACTCTTTTCTGGCATATTTACCCTTCTTTTCAAGGGAATTATGAAAGTGAACCAACGTGTTAGCAATTAAATGTAACTTTCGTTTCCCTTCACATCATTTTGACAAATACTCATTGAATACCCACCTAGCTACATGCTGAGCAACGTGCTAGTAAACTGGGATACTGAGAAGAATAAAACAGATTTTGCCCTCCAGACAC